TTAGAGGGGTGTGTACAGGGGTAGGTAGGGATGGTTGGTTAGAGGGGTGTGTACAGGGGTAGGTAGGGATGGTTGGTTAGAGGGGCGTGTACAGGGGCAGGGAGGTGGGGATAAAGGGGCGTGTACAGGGGTAGGTAGGGATGGTTGGTTAGAGGGGCGTGTACAGGGGCAGGGAGATGGGGATAAAGGGGCGTGTACAGGGGTAGGTAGGGATGGTTGGTTAGAGGGGTAGGTACAGAGGCAGGGAGATGGGGATAAAGGGGCGTGTACAGGGGTAGATCTGAGACCTTCAGGGGCCTTTAATCTAGCGCTGGCTCTGAACAGGGGGAGTCCCCCGGGCCGTGCTGTGTCTTAGCAGGCCCAGTGTGAACCCTGCAGTGGGAGCAGGGAGTGAGGAGCGGAGCAGTGGATTCCCCTGGGGGCAGCGTTGGTGGGGCGGACAATGGGCGTCGTGTCCAGTTGCGGGGACATCACTGGAAAGAGGAAGGGGGGCAGGGAGAGATGCCAGGACGACTGGAGGCTGGAAACCTGCCTTGGTGAGAGCATGGAGGAGCTTCAGCTCCAGGCTTCTGGGAGAGCCGGGCCGAGGTGACTCACTCAGCCACGGGCAGCGAGCAGGGGGCTGGTCAGAGCAAGAACCAGCGTCTGGAAGCTGAAGCTGGGGAAATTCAGACTGGAAACACAGGGCTTGTTTTTAGCTGTGATGGGGAATTAACCGTTGGCTCAATGGCGAAGAGGCTGCGGTGGGTTGTCCATCACTTGAACTAGGACATGGACAGCTGTCTAGACAGATAGATACTGTGTATAGGGAGAGATGGGGGGTGGTGAATGGGGAGAGATGGATGGACAGACTGGCCCCAGGGCAAGCAGCAAACCCAGGTATGGAGCCCAGGGGTCCTGAGTCCCAGCCCGCCTGCTCCATTCACTAACCTCGCTCCGGGAGACTGGTTTGTGGTTAGAGCGGGAGGGGCTGGGAGCCAGGACTCCTGGGTTCTACCCCCAGCACTGCCACTGAGTCCATGTGACCTTGGGCAAGTCCCTTCCTCTCTCAGTCCTTTCCCCTGTCATTAGACGTGAGGTCACAGGGCAGAGTTCGCTGGAGCCTGTGCCCAGCGAAGGGCTATTTATTACCCACAAGGCTGTGGGTAATGAAGCATTGCAGCAAGCCAGGGAGAGGTGCATTGTGGGAAGGGACGCTGGGGTGACCATGCTTCAAGAGGTTCAGAGACCTCCCCGGGTCCTGTCGCCCGGTCCCCTCATGCCAAAGGGCATGTTGTGATTCTCATCGGTCCAAACGCCCACAGCAAGGGGCAGGCAGCAGGTGCAGTGACCAGGAGGCAGGAGGGGGTTAATTCCTCTGGGGGCCAGCAGGGGGCGATGTTGCTGGCAGTCTTGTCCCACCATGGAGTTATTGCCGGGAGCTTCCCCCTGCCACACGTGCCAGAGCCTGTCGTGTGGCTGCAGGGCGCAGGGCTCCCGCCTTGGCGTAGCCAATTGGACTGGAGCCTGCTGGCACCACGGGCACTCGGCCCATCCTGCGCGCTAAACCCAGAGCAGAGGATTCGCTTGGCGCTGGATCGTGCCCCTCCAAGGCCTGGCGATGCCCAGATGGCTGCCAGCCACGGCCCTTTCCCCACCCCCCCACGCCACAAGCTGGTGTCTGCAGCGGGCGAGGGATAAATGGGCCCCGTCTGGGGGAGGCAGATGGGAGACGGGCTGGGCACGGATGGGGAGGGTGACGTGAGGCCCCCAGGACCAGCCGCCCTACCCTGACAAGGTGCTTGAACCCCCCCTCACACTCCCACCCCCAAGGGAGGCGGTGCCATTCCTACTGACTCCGCCTCCTGTTGACTCTGTCTCCCCCTCTGGCCGCCTGGGGGTCTGCGTCCAATCACGCCACATTTGGCACCTGCGATCTCTGCAGTGGATTCTCTGCTCTGGCCCGTGGCTTCATGTCTTTCCTTGCAGCGCTAACCCACCCCACCCGTTTTCTTCCCCAGCCTCTCTCCAGCTGCCCTGACACACCCAGAGGACGGTCGCTCCTGCCCCCTCCCCACACCTTCCCTGCTCCGTTTTCCTCGCTAACAACTTTTTCCTCTGGGCTCAGAACCTGAGATCCTTCCAGGTCACATCTGGGTGGGGAGGGGGGGTTCTGCTCGCTGTCTCACCCCACCCCCTGCCCTCCATCTCCCCCGGCTGTCCCTTCACCACCCCATGTGCACCAGTTCTCATGACTCATGCTGATCTGAATCAAACCTGGCTGTTAAGGTCACTCCAGAGACGTCCAGGGTGGGGCGAGATGTGGGAGCGTGGGGGGCCTGGGGCTGGGGGTGGGGAGCAGACCAGACTGCTTTGATCTTCTGTCCTCCTTCCATCAGCTGTTCGTCCCAGGAGGGAATCCGGCACCGTCTGCTAACCCCACAGCTGCTGATCCCAGAATCTTTCCAAGGGGCAGGATCTCTCTGCAGGGCTCTACACTAACCCTTCCCTGCCCCCCAGGGCCACGGGACAACCCCTTAGCCCCCCCACGCCCAGCGAGACGTCTGCTGGACACAGGATCCCAACCGGGGCTCTGCCGCTATTCCTTTTGAATTGGCAAAATGTTGGATCTTTTGCTTTGCTTATTTTTCATTCCAACCGTGTGTCCCCACCCTCAAATCGGTGTCACTCCAATCAGTGTGTAGGAACAGGGGCTAGAGGGGGGGGGACACGCGTCCATTACCCCCTCATCCCGCCTTCCGAGGGGAAAGGATTTCTCGCCTGAAGAATATCTGGCGACAACGGGAGAATCTGGAAGAATGTTAACCAGAGGGGAGTGGGATCTAGTGGTTAGAGCGGGGCTGGGCGCCAGGACTCCTGGGTTCTATTCACAGCTGGGGGAGTGTAGCCTAGTGATTAGGGTAGGGGGCTGGCCGTCAGGATTTCTGGCTTTTATTCCTACCTCCTCGAGGAAGTGGGATCCTATTGGAGGGGCTGGAAGTCAGGTCTCCTGGGTTCTATCCCCAGCTCTTCCACTGACTTCCCTTTGAGGGAAGTCACTTTGCTCCTCCGTGCCTCAGTTTCCCCACCTATTAAGATTCAGATTATAGTGCTGACCTGGCTCCCAGCCAGGCGGGAGAATCAGCTAAGAGCTAGGCAGGGTCCTTCCAACCACCAGCTGATCGCTCCCTGCCTTTTCCCCAGCATTCTTCATTTACCGGAGCTAATCTGGGGTCCCTCCGAGAAACCCTGTATCACAAAGCCGGGGACCAGACTCTGGGCAGTCATCGGCAAATGGGCTCCATTGGACTCCATGGGATCCTGCCCAGCCGAGGGTCTGCCCCTCCCCCCAGCCCTTTCTGACGCGGTGACATTTCACCCTCCCTTTGTGCCAGTGTAAATTAGTCGCCCCCCGTGCAGGGTGGCAGGGACCCGGCCGTGCCCCATGGCGCTCGGGCTGGCTGTGAAACCAGACCCGGTTCCAGCAGGGCCGGCCCGGCCCATGCCACGTCCCTCGACAGCTGGGGCGGCTGACCCCTGCTCTCCGGAGCAAGTGCCCACGCTGCCTTTACGCTGAGATCGGGCAGGCCACACCCTTCCAAATTCTTTTCTTTCTTTAAATCTGGGTTCCCCCCATCCCCTGTCCTTCACAATGCCCCCCTGCCTTCCCACGCCCCCCCCCAAAAGTACCCTCCAAGCACTCTCTGCCCAGTAACAGAGATGAATCACCCATGACTGCAGATGATCTCGGAACCGAGCGTTGATTTTCATTCCTCCAGCCGACAGCCTGTTACAAATTTATTCTTTCTTCTCTTTTCTCTCTTTCTTTCTCTCTCTGTCTCTCGTTCTATCGCTCGCTCGCTCTCTTGATCCTCCTCTTCCCCCTCCCACTTGCCCCAATCTCCCTCCCCTCTCTGCTCCCTCCCCCCCCCAGTATTCGTTTGCCCGGGGACCCTACAGAAGGTGCTGGAGGCCACGTCCACCCACGAATCAGAGCATCAGTCGGGCGCCTGGTGCAAAGACCCGCTGCAAGCCGGCGACCGGATCTACGTCATGCCGTGGATTCCTTACCGGACGGACACGCTGACAGAGTACGCCTCGTGGGAGGACTACGTGGGCGCCCGGCACACCACCACCTACCGGCTGCCCAACCGCGTGGACGGCACGGGCTTCGTGGTGTACGACGGGGCCGTCTTCTACAACAAGGAGCGGACCCGGAACATCATCAAGTACGATCTGCGGACCCGCATCAAAAGCGGCGAGACGGTGATCAACACGGCCAACTACCACGACACCTCGCCCTACCGCTGGGGGGGCAAGACCGACATCGACCTGGCCGTGGACGAGAACGGGCTGTGGGTCATCTACGCCACCGAGGGCAACAACGGGCGCCTGGTGGTGAGCCAGCTCAACCCCTACACCCTGCGCTTCGAGGGTACCTGGGAGACGGGCTACGACAAGCGCTCGGCCTCCAACGCCTTCATGGTGTGCGGGGTGCTGTACGTGGTGCGCTCCGTCTACGTGGACGACGACAGCGAGGCCGCCGGCAACCGTGTGGACTACGCCTTCAACACCAACCTCAACCGGGAGGAGCCCGTCTCGCTGGCCTTCCCCAACCCCTACCAGTACGTCTCCTCCGTGGACTACAACCCCCGCGACAACCAGCTCTACGTCTGGAACAACTACTTCGTGGTGCGCTACGCCCTGGAGTTTGGGCCCCCCGACCCCAGCACGGGTGAGCGTGCCCCCCCACACACACTGGGCACCACCAGCCCCTCGGGGGGCAGGGCTTGTGAGAGAGCTAGGAGAGCCGCCCCCAATGGTGGGGTCACAGCCCGGCCCCACCAGTGGGGGAACCCAAATGTCTCCTCTCCTCGGGTGGGGGAGGGGGCGCAGCCCTTCAGAACTTGGGGGTTTGGGGGCTATTCGGAGGGAGGCTCGTAGCAGTGGGGGGGGTTGGATGGAGATGTCTGGGGGTTGCGGAGGGCTCCTGGGAGGCCTCAGAAGGGCTCCGAGCTCTGTGTGGAGTTCAGGGGGTGGAGGGTCTCAGGGGGATCCTGTGAAGGGGTTTTCGGGGGGCTGTGGGGGGCTCCAAGGGAGTCAGAGGCATGGGGGGCTCTGTAGGATTTGTGGGGGCTCAGAGGAGGCTGTAGAGGAGTCTGGAGGGAAATTGTGGTGGACCATCATTGGGGGGTGGGTCTCATGGGGAGGGGCCCACAGGGGCTCATGGGGGGGGTGTCTCAGGGACTTGGGTGTGTGGTGTCAGGAGCCTGGGTGGGGGGGAAGGTCTCATGTGTGTGTGGTGGGGGGGGTCGCAGGGCTGTTGGAAGGGTCAAAAGGGGGTGGAGCCCGGGGGCAGGCAGAAGGGGTCCAGGTGGGGGGCGGGTGGGATTACCAGGGGGCATATGGGGACCAAAGGGGGGACATGGGGTGTGTGGGAGGGGAGGGGGGAGTTCAGGGTTGTGCATGATCGTGTCTGGGGGAGGGGAACCAGGCATGTGCACAGGGTCCAGGGAGCCAGGGGATTTCCGGATTGGGGGTTCCCATGGCTCTGAGTGGAGATGGGGGGCTTATGGGGGTGGTTCCCAGGGCTGTGGACGGGAGTGGGGGACTGGGGTAGAGGGTTCCCAGGACCATAATGGGGGGGGAACTGGGGGCAGGTTACCAGGGCCATGAGGGTGTGGGAGACTCAGGGGGTTACCAGGGCTATGGGGGGTGGGGACTAGGTGGGTTCTCAGGGCCAGAGGGAGGGAGGGGGAGGGGAGGGTTCCCAGGGCCATATAGTGGGCAGGGCACTGGGGGGGTTCCCAGGGCCGTAGGGAGGATGGGGCACTTGGGGGGTGTCTGGGTCTCTAACCTCCCTCCTCCCGCCCCCAGGCCCCGTCACCTCCACGCCGCTTAGCACCACCACCACCGTGCGGCCCACCACGGTCACCACCACGGCCTCGCCCGCCGCCACCACCACGGTGCGCAGGGCCCCCCTCACCACCCACCCCATCGGCGCCATCAACCAGAAGGGCACGGAGCTGCACCCCATCACGGCCGCTGCCCCCAGCACCCGCAAGCCCCCCTCCTCCAACCAGCACGTCTCCCCCGAGCTCTTCTGCGAGCCCAAGGAGGTCAGAAGGGTCCAGTGGCCGGCCACGCAGCAGGGCATGCTGGTGGAGCGGCCCTGCCCCAAGGGCACCAGAGGTAATGGGCGGCTGGGGGGGCAGCGGGATGGCATTGACCCCCCCTCAGAGTCTGCCGACCAGCTGGGAAGACAAGGAGAGTGGAGTCTAGTGGGTAGAGCGGGGGGGGGGGCTAGGTGCCAGGACTCCTGGGTTCTCTCCCCATCTCTGGGAGGGGAGTGGGCTGTAGTGGTTACAGCAGAGTCTGGGTGCCAGCCAGGACTCCTGGGTTCTCTCTCCTGCTCTGCCCCTGTTTCGCTGACCCGAGCAGCCTGGGGCTGAGTCCGTGGTGTGGGAACTGCATGGCAACTCCCAGCCTGACCCCTAGAGGGCGACGTGGCCACACAAAGGGGGGAACTGCTGCCCCTTCAGGCACTGAACCCGCCCCAAAGCAGAGACCCCCCCAAAGCCCACGTACCCCTTAGGGGGCGTGGATGGGCCCTGCCTACACTGGGGAATCTGGGGCTGGGCTAAGCTGACAGGGGGGCCCCCGGCCGTCTCCCTTCTCCCCTTCTCCGGTGCCTCCCGCCTCTCTCTCTGCCCGCAGGAATCGCCTCCTTCCAGTGCCTGCCGGCCCTGGGGATCTGGAACCCGCGCGGCCCCGACCTCAGCAACTGCACCAGCCCCTGGGTCAACCAGGTGGCACAGAAGGTACCGCGGCCCCCGCCTTTCCCCCACCCTCCTGTGCCCACCATGCCTACTGTGCCCTCCATACTCACCTCTCTGCTTTGGGGGGTCACCACTCATAACCTATGTGGGAGCTGGGGGGCATCACCCGTACCCTACAGATTGGGACCCAGGGCATGGCTTGTTCCCTACAAAGAGCCTGGGGGGAGCATGGTTCCTACCCTATGGGGCAGGATCCGGCAGGTCGCTTGTACCCTGCGGGGGCAGGGCAAGGGGGCACTCCTACCCTGTGTGGGGAGAACTGGGCCTGGGACCCGGCTCCCCGGGGCTGATCAGGGTCTCTTCCCCCTGTCCCGGCAGATCAAGAGCGGGGAGAACGCGGCCAACATTGCCAGCGAGCTGGCGCGGCACACGCGGGGACCCATCTACGCCGGCGACGTCAGCTCCTCCGTCAAGCTGATGGAGCAGCTGCTGGACATCCTGGACGCCCAGCTGCAGGCGCTGCGCCCCATCGAGAGGGAGTCGGCTGGCAAGAACTACAACAAGGTGCAGGCGACTGGGAGTCAGGGCTCCTGGGTTCTGTCCCTGACGGTGACCTTGGCTGAGTCACTTCCGCCATTCTGTGCCTCAGTTTCCCCATCTGTAAATGAGGATAATGCTACCTAGGCAACAGGCTGTAGGGAGGTGTCCATGTAGATTAGCTCTGGGGTGCCCAGGCTGTGGGTGCTCTGGCAGGACCTGTGTGGTTAACCCCCTAAAGGGGAGCCCTATGGAACCACCCCACCTCCAAAGCCAGGGCATCTCTCACATCCCATCACACAGAGAAAGGTCTATTCCTCCGTGCCAACCCCTGCAGCGTCCCCACGCGGGGCCGTTTCTGTATGTTGATATCCTGACTTCTTAATGGTGTCATCATGATGTACGATGACGTTAGGGGTCCTTGTGATGTCATCACCTGGCTCCGTGACCGGAGGGCGCCCACCTGTGATGTCATCACACGGTGCCGTGACGGGAGGGCGCCCACCTGTGATGTCATCACATGGTGCCGTGACGGGAGGGCGCCCACCTGTGATGTCATCACACGGTGCCGTGACGGGAGGGTGCTCCTCTGTGGTGTCCTCACATGCCATCGGGACGTGAGGCTTCCTACTGGAGCCGCCTACGTTATGTCACGATGTGCTGACGGGTTTTGTGACACTGCGTCACATCACGAGATGACAACTCTTCATCCGACGCCATGACGTGGTGACGTTCCTTCACGAGCTGCTGTCCCACCGTCACTGGGGGCCAGCCCGCTGGGTCACAGTGTGATGCGCTCTCTTCAGGGGGTCGTTCTTCTCACCAGCCACTGGCAGCCGGCTGGCTTTTGAAAGCCTGGGCCCCCCACTCACTCCAGGGGTCACAGCTGGGATTGGCGACAGGCCCCATTGCACTCAGCTAGTTACCCAGTGGTCATCGGCTAGTTATCGAACAAAGATTGGCTAATTTTAGCTAGTTAGCCAGTAGTTATTGGCTAGTTACTCAGTGGTCATTAGCTAGTTACCCAATGGTCATTGCCTCTAGTTATCAGCTAGTTACCCAACGGTTATTAGTTAGTTACCTAATGGTTATCGGCTAGTTACTCAATCATTAATGGCTAGTTACCCAATGGGTATTGGCTCGTTGTCAGATAGTTACCCAATGGTTATCGACCGGTACCTGTGACTGACACTGGGGCTAGCAGGGATCTGATGCAGGAAGCGCAGATTTGGCTCCAAGGCCCCAAGGTGGGAACGTATCCCAGAGAATCAAAGCCCGGACCCTCGATGCTGGGATCTGGCCCTGACCATTCCTTCTTGTCTGTTCCCCGCTCCCTCCCTGCTCTGCCTTCCACGTGTCTGGCGCCTTCAGATGCACAAGCGAGAGCGGACCTGTAAAGACTACATCAAGGTGAGTGGGGGGGCTCCTAGGCTCCCCAACACTAATCAGCTGGCCCCCGAGATACATAACTGATTGCAGGAGGGTCACTCTGGATTTGCACCACGGAGTGAGAGGGGAATTGTGATGGGAGCCTGGGGTACAACCTGGAACTGTGGGACCGCTGTGCCCCCTTAACTCTCCAGCCTGGGCTGTCTCACACAGTGCTTTGCTAGTGACAAGCAGCAAACCCCTCCAGGCGCTCTGATCACTCAGCCATCGGCATGTGGAGCTCCACCCCCAGCTAGATTGTGTGAAAGCTCCCTGAGCCACTCATGAATCGTACAGAGAGAGGCACCTGCCCGTCACCCCAGACCCCGGCCTTGCACCCCAGCAATATACCGTCTGACACCGCTCAAGGCTCCCTTGGACAGTGCAAGCTCCTTGATCAGTTCATCACTCCAACCAAAGGGTAGTGGAGTCTGCAACAGCCCCTGTTAACCTGAGCTGAGATTCCCCCAGCACTTCACCCAAAGCCCCACTGTTTTGGGTCAAATGTAAACCAGATTTGTTAACTACAGGGAGACCGATTGTAAGTGATTAGAAGTAGCAGCCATAGAGCTCGACGTTAGTAGCCGGCATCGAGATCCAAGTTTGTTACCTAAGAAATAAAAACAAATTTTCCGTCTAAACTCTAGAGACTGAGCAAGATTGTCAGTCTCCCAACCCCAGCTTGGCGGAGGTGGAGCCCCCGTTCCAGGGCTGGCTATTGGCCAAGAGAGACACCCACTCACCCCCCTAGTCCTGAGCCAAGGGGGCACGGGGAGGAGGCCGAGTGGTTGCTCCGATTGGGGTGGGGGTAGCTCTGGTGCCCTGGGGCATCGGGGCAGGCAGGCTGGGGGGCGAGAGAAGGGGCTGCGGCTGTAGAGGGGAGCTTGCCCCGCCCAAGGGAACCCCGGAGTCTGTCTGAGAATCCCATCCCCGGCTCCCCTCTCGGGTGCGGGGCCCAGCGCGGGGCTGAGCCGTGTCACACACACATACCTGCCCGCCCCCAGGCTGTGGTGGAGACCGTGGACAATCTGCTGCGGCCCGAGGCGCTGGAGTCGTGGAAGGACATGAACGCCACGGAGCAGGTGCACACGGCCACCATGCTGCTGGACATCCTGGAGGAGGGCGCCTTCCTGCTGGCCGACAACGTCAAGGAGCCCGCGCGCTTCGTCACCACCCGGCAGAACGTGGGTGAGTGGCTCCCCCGACGCCCGGATGCCTGGGTCCTCCAGGGATCAGTGGGAGTAGTGATGGGGGGGGGGGCAGGAACGCTCATCCTGGCCCAAAAAGGCAGAGACCCCAATAATCGCCTTCTATCCCCAGCGTCCTCGTCCCCAAGAGGCAGAAGGGAAAGCTGATTCTGGGTCAGGCCTCCCACCTGGATGCCTGGGTCCTCTAGGGTTAGGGAGGTGGAGGGGGATCCGCAAGGCCGATCCTGGCCCACAGTGGCAGAGACCCCACTATCCCCAATACCAATAGGCAGGTGGGGAAGATGAGCTTGGGCTTGGCCTCTTGCCCGGATTCCTGGGTCCTCCAGGGATTGGATCGGTGGGTGACCTTGATTCACAGCATGGTAAAAGGGGGTCTGGTGGGTGTCTGGGGCAGCTGGTGTTTCTCAGAGCAAACTCCACCCATGTGCGGGACAGATGTGCGTGCAATGCATGTGCAGGATGGACGCATGTGCAGGATGGATGGATGTGCAGGATGGATGGATGTGCAGGACAGATGTGCGTGCAATGCATGTGCAGGATGGATGGATGTGTGGGACAGATGTGCGTGCAATGCATGTGCAGGATGGATGGATGTGTGGGACAGATGTGTGCGCAATGCATGCGCAGGACAGATGCGTGTGCAGGATGGATGCATGTGCAATGTGTGTGCAGGACAGATGTGTGCGCGGGTCAGCTGCATGTGCAGGACAGATGTGTGTGCATGAAATGCATGTTCAGGATGGATGTGTGTACAGGATGGATGCATGTGCAATGCGTGTGCAGGATGGATGCGTGTGATGAGTGTGCAGGACGGCTGCGGGTGCAGGATGGCTTAATGTGTGGGATGGATGCTTGTGCAGGACGGATGCGTGTGGGGGGCGGATGCCGATGCAGGACAGAAGTGTGTGTATGCGATGCGTGTGCAGGGTGGATGCGTGTGCGGGACAGATGCATGTGCATGCGATGTGTGTGCAGGACGGCTGTGGGTGCAGGACAGATGCGTGTGCGGGGCGGATGTGTGTGCAGGGCGGATGCAGATGCAGGATGGATGCATGTGTGTGCGATGCGTGTGCAGGGTGGATGCGTGTGCGGGACAGATGCATGTGCATGCGATGTGTGTGCAGGACGGCTGTGGATGCAGGACAGATGCGTGTGCGGGGCGGATGTGTGTGCAGGGCGGATGCAGACGCCCCCCGCCCTCACGGCTCTCCCCCCACAGTGCTGGAGGTGACAGTGCTGAACACGGAGGGGCAGGTGCAGGAGCTGGTCTTCCCACAGGAGTACGCCAGCGAGAACTCCATCCAGCTCTCGGCCAAAACCATCAAGCAGAACAGCCGCAATGGTGAGTGGGGGGCCAGGCCCCCGCCCTGGGCATGGGGGGAACCCCAGGGAGTGGCACTAACCACCCTCCTCTCCTCCCCAGGGGTGGTCAAGGTGGTCTTCATCCTCTACAACAACCTGGGCTTCTTCCTCTCCACCGAGAATGCCACGGTCAAGCTGAGCGGGGAGGCGGGCGCCCCGAGCCCCGCCCTGGTCGTCAACTCGCAGGTCATCGCCGCCTCCATCAACAAGGAGTCCAGCCGAGTCTTCCTCATGGACCCCGTCATCTTCACCCTCTCCCACCTGGAGGTGAGACACGCCCCAGCCACCAGGGGGTGATGGGCTGCTGGGGTGCTGCCCCCAATGCCCTGGCTGTGCCCCGTCCCCATACACACCCCAGTCTGGCACCAGGGGGCGCTGTGCTGCTGGGGTGCTGCCCCCAATGCCCTGGCTGTGCCCCGTCCCCATACACACCCCAGCCTGGCACCAGGGGGCGCTGGGCTGCTGGGGTGCTCTCAATGAGAATCTGGACGCACGAATTCCAGTGTATCCCTCTGTCCTTCTATGCCCCCCCTCCATACCTGGGTCCCCTGTGATGCTCGAGCTCCCATCACCTCCGTTGTCACTGACACGTCCCCCCCGGCTGCTCCCCACAGGCGAAGAACCACTTCAACGCCAACTGCTCCTTCTGGAACTACTCGGAGCGCTCCATGATGGGCTACTGGTCGACACAGGGCTGCCGCCTGGTGGAGACCAACAAGACGCACACGACCTGCGCCTGCAGCCACCTCACCAACTTCGCCGTGCTCATGGCGCACCGCGAGATCGTAAGGGCCTGGGCTCGGGAGCAGGGCGGGCACCGGGGGCACCTCGGCTGGTCTGAGCACAGCGTCACCCCCCCCCCCCCGGGGCCTGGTCGGTGTGCACTGTCCCCTCCCTCCCGCAGCTGGTCTGTGCACACTGTCCCCGCCCCTCCCCAAAGAGACTGGTCTGTGCACAGTGTGTGTCCCCCACAACGGCTGGTCTGTGTACACTGCCCCCCTCTAGTGGCTAGTCGGAGGATAACAGCCTACTGCTCCTTTAGCTCAAGTTGCAGAACGTCCTAGTTCCAATCCCAGCTGATCGCTCCTGCTGGCGCGTGGGGGGGAGGGTGTCGGCAAAGGGGCAAAGAGGAAGGAGGGTGCTGGGGAGGGGAGGCATTGCTGGGGGGGTGCATCTTTGAATTGTCCAGGTTAGGAGGGGAGGGGGAGAATCCCCAGGGAGATGGGGGGGGCACCAGGAGTGGGGAGGATCCCTGGTGAGATGGAGGAGGGGTGCCTGGAGGGGAGCACCCCAGGGTGCTGGAGCGAGCTCCGGCTTTGGGTAGTGGCTCCCCCGCAGCACAACAGCCCCGGGGACGCCCGTCCTAACCCCCCTTCTCCTGCCGCCCCAGTACCAGGGCCGTATCAACGAACTGCTGCTGTCGGTGATCACCTGGGTGGGCATCGTCATCTCGCTGGTGTGCCTGGCCATCTGCATCTCCACCTTCTGCTTCCTGCGCGGGCTGCAGACCGACCGCAACACCATCCACAAGAACCTCTGCATCAGCCTCTTCCTTGCTGAGCTCCTCTTCCTCATCGGCATCGACAAGACGCAGTACGAGGTGGGGCCCAGCAGGGGGTGCCCTGCCCTGGCCCTCACGGCTGACCCCAGGGCCCCAGCGTGGCGCTAGGAGGCGCTGTGCTGCAGGAATGGCCGGCCCCTCATTCATTCCACCTCCCCTAAAAATTCCCTGCAGTTTCATTGTGTTGTCCCCTCTTTCATGATTGTGTTGCTGTAAGGCTCTTAAACAGGCCCCGCACTCCACCCCAGAGGCGGCTGCATCTCAACACCAGGCAAGGGATCCCTGTATAAACAGTCCCCACGTGCCGCACCCCAGAAGCGGCTGCATCTCTGCACTGGGCGAGGGATCCCTGTCTGTATCGCTAACCCCCTTGTCCCTCTTCCCCCTCCCCAGATCGCCTGCCCCATCTTCGCGGGGCTGCTGCATTACTTTTTCCTGGCAGCCTTCTCCTGGATGTGCCTGGAGGGCGTGCACCTCTACCTCATGCTGGTGGAGGTCTTCGAGAGCGAGTACTCCCGCAAGAAGTACTACTACCTGGGCGGCTACTGCTTCCCGGCCCTCGTGGTGGGCATCGCCGCCGCCATCGACTACCGCAGCTACGGCACCGACAAGGCGTGAGTGCTGGGGGGAGGGGCTAAGACACTGATGGAGCGGGAGTGCTGGGGGCGGGGCTAAGGCACTGATGGGGTGTGAATGCCAGAGGCGGGGCTAAGGCACTGATGGGGCGGGAGTGCCAGAGGCGGGGCTAAGGCACTGATGGGGTGTGAATGCCTGGGGCGGGGCACTGATGGGGTGGGAGTGCTGGGGGCGGGGCTAAGGCACTGATGGGGTGGGAGTGCCGGGAGCGGGGCTAAGGCACTGATGGGGTGTGAGTGATGGGGTGGGGTGGGACTAAGACAGCAATGGGGCATGAGTGGTGGAGAGTGGGGCTATGGCACAGAGAAGGCATGAGTGCTAGTGGGTGGGGCATGAGTGCCCAGATGGGCGGGGCTATGACCCCAACGGGTGTGAGTCCCAGCGGCAGGTTGGATAAAATTTGACATAAAAAAAATTTAAAATCTCATTTTTGAAATTAATTCCCTGTTTCTCTATAAAAACAAAGCTATTCAAAATTGAATTTGAAATTGACAAACTGATGTTAAGGCCTAAACTTATTCTGATCTATTACAATAATTGTAATCAAATTACAAAAATAATAGGCAGCAGTAAACGTTTGCTGCCAAACTTTAAAGAAAGTCAAAACCCCTGAAGTGGTGGAAGTCACTGCCTCAGCACCTGGAACTGGAGTTTGTTGAAGAACTAAACCAGCTCGTGATAGCAGTAGCCTTATCTGTGTGCTTCCTTGCATTTTATCCGACGAGTTCAGCTCAGTTCATTCAAAGTTGAAAATCCAACTGGGAGTTGAAAACGCAGGAGAGCTTGTTTTCCTTTTCCGATCTGTGAATAAAACCAAGTGTGAGAGGATGAGATCTACTAGTTCTAAAATCTCGACGCGCAGGGTGACCTGAAACAATCACTTTGATTCACTAACTGCGGATAATGCTCCCTTCGTTTCATAAATCGATTCGGTTTAAATGGAAACCACGGTTTGAGAAATTCGCTTTTTCCCCAGCACGTTTAAGGGAGTTTTATTTAACTAAATCATGAAAAGCATTTTAAAAATTGTGCCTTTTTAATTGAATTCCAATTTCCAGCCCAAGGCAGCTTGACACAAATCCCGAGTAAAAAATGACTCTGGTGAATAAGAAATGCGTCATTCACCATTTTCTAACATCATACAAAAATGTAAAAAGCAAGACTCTAAAGAGACGCATGTGAAGCTATAGACTTGCTTCAATAAATTCAGCTAGATCGAGCGAATCGTCCTGCTTAGCAAGCCCAATGGAGTGTAACAGATACATTTAAATGCAAATCAACATGTGTTAAGTGTTTCCGTCCAATGAGTCTTCACCGTCCTTTAGGAAAATACCAAAAAAGTACACACCCATATGCCCTGGTCAGGGCCAGGGCACTGGCATTGATGTGGCATGAGTGCTGAGGCATATGGGGGAAATCCAGAGTGGTCCTTGTGCCCCATAGCTGTTGGGTGGACTTCTCTGCAGTGCCTAGCTTCCTGGGGCAGCCCCAGAAGGGGTGAGGGAGATTTGGGTGTCCTCCCCGATGGGGCCACCAAGTCAGCTTGCCTGTAGCTAACACTCCCTCCCCGACTTCCCACAGCTGCTGGCTCCGAGTGGACAATTACTTCATCTGGAGCTTCATTGGCCCCGTCTCCTTCATCATCGTGGTGAGTCCAGAGGTGCTGTGGGGGGAACGCAGAGACGTCCCAGCGCCCGCAGCGTGACAGGCTGCTCCCCCAGCCTCAGGCAACCCCCCAGGAAGGGATCGGCATCATTATTCCCACTGCCAAGGCGGAGCTAGAACCCAGGAGTCCTGGCTTCCAGCCCCACCTGCTGTAACCACTAGACCCCACTCCCCTCCCAGAGCCGGGGCTAGAACCCAGGAGTCCTGGCTCCCAGCCCCACTTGCTGTAACCACTAGACCCCACTCCCCTCCCAGAGCCGGGGCTAGAACCCAGGAGTCCCAGCCCCCCAGCCCCTCCCATCAGCTCCAGCCACTGGCCCCTCACACCACAGGGGGCGCTGTCCCCTAACTCTAACCCCAACACCCCAGCCCAGAGCTCTCAGTCTCATTGGCCTGGCTCTGCCCTGTCTCTGGGTGAAGCCCCTCCCAGAACCCACTAACCCCCACTGGGGGATACGTGGCCATTGGAGCCGTATCCTGGCTCACAGAAATGGGCCCTGTACAACAGGAAAAGAAAGCCTCCCATAGCCCTTCTCAGAGTGGGGCAGAGGGGTCACAGCACGGGGGGAGGGCCGGAGACAGCCCCTCCCAGAGGGGTCGCGGGGGGAGGGGCAAAGACACAGCCCCTCCCAATGTGGGGCGGCTGGGGGAGTGATTGCACGAGTGGTTGGGGGAGAGGAGGCCTCCCAGCCAAGGGGGGCAGGGGGCGGAGGGGCAGGGGGCGGAGGGGCAGGGGGCGGGTCTGTTGCCGAGCTGGGGTCTCACGGCTCCCCCACCCCCAGGTCAACCTGCTCTTCCTCATGATCACGCTGCACAAGATGAGCCGCAGCACGGCCGTGCTCAAGCCCGACTCCAGCCGCCTGGACAACATCAAGTGAGTGAGGCCAGGTCGGCAGGCACTGGGGTCCCCCCACTGACGCCCCCGCCCCCGGGAGGAGCTGGGGACACACTGCACTGGCCACAGCCCCGGCTGGACAGGCCACGGGTGAGCCCCGAGGTGGCTGCATCTCAGTGCCAGGCGAGGGGTCCCTGTATAAACAGCTCCCATGCCCCACCCCAGAGGTGGCTGCACCTCAGCACCGGGCGAAGTGTGCGGAGGATGCCATGGGTAACTCTCTGTGTCTCTCCCCTGCAGGTCCTGGGCGCTGGGCGCCATCGCTCTCCTCTTCCTCTTGGGACTCACCTGGGCCTTCGGCCTCCTCTTCATCAACAAGGAGTCCATCGTCATGGCCTATCTCTTCACCACCTTCAACGCCTTCCAGGGCATGTTCATCTTCGTCTTCCACTGTGCCCTGCAGAAGAAGGTCAGGCACTGCCCTCGGCCAGGAGAGGGGCAGCGGCAGAGCTGGGGGCAGCCCAGGGCTGGGGTCGTAGGGGGTGCGGGTCGGGAGTGAGGGGCACCGGCAGAGCTGGGGAGTCCCAGGTCTGGGCTAGCAGGGGCTGCGGGTCATGAGTGAGGGGCACCGGCAGAACGGGGCGGGGGAAGCCCAGGGCTGGGCCAACAGGGGGTCTCCCAGCCCAGTGCACTAACCCCGGTTGTCATCCCCCGCCTCCCCCCCCCCCCCCCGCAGGTGCACAGGGAGTTCAGTAAATGCCTGCGTCACGCGTCCTGCTGCCTGCGCAGCCCCCCGGGGGCCACACTCGGCTCCCTCAAGACTTCAGCCATTCGGAGCAACAACCGCTACTACACGGGCACGCAGGTACGGGGGGCAGAGCCCTGCCTGGGCTGTGTGTGTGGGGGGAACGGAGCCCTCCCTGGGCTGGGGATGGGATCGGAGTGGTGGGGCAAATGGGGACAGATGTACAGAGCCCCGTCCTAGGGCTGGGGACAGATGGACAGAACCTTACCTAGTGCAGGGGGTGGGATGGGGGGCTGGGGACAGAGTCCTCCCTAGGGATGGGGGCGGGGTGGGGGGAGGTGCCAGACTCTCTCTTAGGCAGGGCTGGGGTCTCTGGGGGTGGGACAGGCAGCCAGGGGTGTCAGTGTCTGAGCTCCCCCCACCCCCGACAAACACCCCCCATGTCTCTCACAGAGTCGGATCCGGAGAATGTGGAATGACACCGTCCGGAAACAGACGGAGTCGAGCTTCATGGCGGGGGACATCAACAGCACCCCCACCCTGAACCGAGGTGAGGCCCCCCCACCCAGCACCCCTTGTCCCAGCACCCCCACCCTGAACCGAGGTGAGACCCCCCACCCAGCACCCCCTGCCCAGCTCCCCCACCCTGAACCAAGGTGAGACCCTCCCACCCAGCACCCCCACACCGAACCGAGGTGAGACCCCCGCCACCCAGCACCCCCACCCAGTACCCCCACCCTGAACCCAGGTGATACCCCCCCAAGGGCCCCCACCCTGCTCTCTGCAGCCCCTGGACTCTCTCCCTTGCTGGCTTCAGATCCCTGCACTGCCCCAGCCAGCCCTGCTCAGCGTGGTGTGCTGGGTGGGCTGGGTGCCCAGCGGTGCGGCGGGATACGTTCCCCATTACCCCTTGGCCTCGGGGGCCCTGCAGGGGAGCTGACACCTGCCTCTGCTGCCCGTGCAGGGACCATGGGGAACCACCTGCTGACCAACCCGGTGCTGCAGACCCGGGGCGGCACCAGCCCCTATAACACCCTCATCGCCGAGTCCGTGGGCTTCAACCCCTCCTCGCCCCCCGTCTTCAACTCCCCAGGTAAGAGCCCCGGCCCCCCTCGTCCACCCCCAGGTGCGAGGACACACCCGGTCTGGGGACATCCCTGGAGGGGACCCACTTACTGGGATCCCACTTTCCTTCCTGCTCGGTATTTGGGGGGAGCCCTGTAGGGGTGTGGTGTGGTCCCCTTAAATCTTCTCCCAAGAAGGGAGTTCTCGAGTCTTGTGCCTTTCTCAGCAGGGGGCGCTGTGGGGAGCGAGACAGGAGCACTGGCTGTGGGGCGGGCTCCTGGCTACTCCAGCCCCGGTGTCTCCCTGCAGGGGGCGCTGTGGGGAGCGAGACAGGAGCACTGGCCGTGGGGAGGGCTCCTGGCTACTCCAGCCCCGGCGTCTCCCTGCAGGGGGCGCTGTGGGGAGCGAGACAGGAGCACTGGCTGTGGGGTGGGGTCCTGGCTACTCCAGCCCCGGCGTCTCCCAGCTTGGGGCGCTGTGGGGAGCGAGACAGGAGCACTGGCTGTGGGGTGGGGTCCTGGCTACTCCAGCCCTGTCATCTCCCAGCAGGAGGTGCTGTAGGGAAGCACAGAGAGGTCCATGGGCAGGGGGGTCAGTGTTTGCTTTTGGGGTGCTGTCCCCTGCCTGCCCTATAACCTTCTCTCTCTTGTCTCCCCCTCTCCACTCGCTGGCGCCACCTGCAGGGAGCTTCCGAGAGTCCAGTACGTCCCTCCTTTCCAGTTCCATTTCGCAGTAATGTTTCCTTCATTGCTAGTTTGACTGGCAGGCTGGGGGTGGGGCAGAGCCAGGACACGACGGTGCAGGCAGCCAGGAGCTGGCGTGGAGCCTGGTCTCTCCAGCAGGGGGCGCTGTGGGGAGGAAGGCGGGAATGCTGGCTGTGGGGGGAGCTCCCAGCTACTCCAGTCCCGGCCTCTCCCAGCAGGGGGCGCTCTGGGCAGTTCTATAATGGGGTTCAACTCTTGCATTCACTGCCTTGGACAAAAGAGGGAGACTCTGAACAATTGTCGCTGGGACCGTGTCTTAATGGCCTATGGGAACGCATCTATATCACCCTCCTGCTGGGCTCGATTATACCTGTGGTCCCTATAGTCCCGTATCGCCCTCCTGCTGAGCCGTATCGGACCCCTGGTCCCTATAGGCCTGTACTACCCACCTGTTGAACCAGATCAGCCCCATGGTCCCTATAGTCTCATATCACCCTCCTGATGGACCATTTTGGTCTGTACAGTCCAGTATCTGACCAGCAGTCAATACTTGGTGTTTCAGAGCAAGGCAGCCTTGCCCCCTATGATGTGCCGGAGCAGCAGAATGCTCTCTGTGAGCAGGGACGGGGGGCCCCCCAACTCGGGCGATGGGTCCCCCAGATCTCAGCACTCGGGGTCCCAATGTTTTGGAGCTGGAGGCGGGAGGAAAGGGGTCCACTATCTCAGACCCTCACGGGCTTGGTTGCAGGTTGGGGGGTGGCAGGTATGTGTGTTAGGGGAGGCGCACGGGACTGGATTGGGGAGTCAGCCCCCCCACCCAGCAGGGGAGTGGGGCGCTGCTATGTCCGGCCAGCTTGTGCCCCACCCCCAGATCTGGGGGGCTGGGTTCTCAGCTCCCATCAGAAAGCCCAGCTCAAAGCAACACCTGGCTCTGGCTGAAGATGGGGGCGTATGGGGGGGGGGAACCAGCCGTGGCCCATTTCCACCCCTGAGGCTGGGTCCGGCCTGGCACCGGGAGCTGATGAGTCTTGGATCAGACACCACATGGTAGCTCTGGGCCAATCACCCCCATGGCGGTGATGGGGGGTGGGGGTGCGACCTCCAACCCTGCCACCCAGCCCTCGCTGAGCTCTCTGCTCACGCCTACCCCCTGCCCTTTTCCACTAATTCCCGGGAGCGCCCCCCGGTGCCTCCCTCCCGCCCCCCACTAACTCCCCCTCTCTCTCTCCCCTGCCCCGCCCCTGGCAGAGCACCCCCTGAACAACAGCCGGGACGCCTGCGGCATGGACACCCTGCCCCTCAACGGCAACTTCAACAACAGCTACTCCCTCCGCAGTGCTGACTTCCCGGCCGAGGGCGCCAAGATGGCCGACTGCCGGCGCAACCTCAGCGACGCCGCCGCCTTCGAGAAGATGATCATCTCGGAGCTGGTGCACAACAACCTGCGCGGGGGCGCCAGCGGCACGGCCAAGGGGGCACCCCCTCCGGGGGGGGCGTGGCCCGGCCGAGCCCAGCAACCCCTCCGGCCCGCCGCCCCCCCCCACGCGGCGGCGGGCCCGGCGAGGAGGAGGCGGCGGCGCCCGAGGGCCCGGCCCTGAGCCACGAGGAGAACCTGGAGATCGAACTCATGTACAAGGCCCTGGAGGAGCCGCTGCTGCTGCAACGGGCTCAGTCGATCCTCTACCAGAGCGACCTGGAGGAGTCCGAGAGCTGCACGGCCGACCTGACCGAGGGCGGAGACGGCCAGGCCCCCTCCCCCAACAGGGACTCCTTGTACACCAGTATGACCAACCTGAGAGACTCCCCTTACCCGGACAGCAGCCCCGAGGCGGTGGGGGAAATCCTCCCCCACACCCAAGCCATCAACGAAATCTACTACACCAACCGGCCCGCCCTGGTGCCCCGCAGCCAGCTCCAAGCCTACTACCAGGTCCGGAGACCGAGCACTGACGGCTACTTGGTTCAAGCCGGCTTAGAGGGCCCAGTGCCGGAGGGAGACGGTCAAATGCAGCTGGTCACCAGTCTCTGAAAGCCAGGAGCGGACTGAGGAGCCGTCCCGAGCCGCCGACTCTCCCCCCGCCTCATCCCACCTTTGCCAAAAGGAGCCCCTCCCCCCGGGCCGTGGCCTGGCGTTTTTAATTTTTGCCCTGGGATGCTGAGAGAGAGACGGGTGGGCGCTGCAGAAGGACACAGGCCAGGGGAAGGAGGAGAGGTGGCGTGAATCTCCTCTGGGAAGGGGGGCCGTCTTGTCTAGCGTCCTCCTGCCCACCTGGCGGAGAGGGGAGGGTGGAAATCGGGGGTTGCTGCTTTTGTTTTTGAAGGAAAGGAAGGAGGAGGGGCGGGAAGGAAGGAATGAAAAAGGCACCGGGCCGGACGACAGGATGTCACTTTTTCGTTTTTTAAGGTCGTCCCTCTTCCGTTTCTTTACGTTGGTTTTGTGGGGAGAGAAGATCAAAAAGAAGTGGAGCAGGGAAACCAATTTTCTTTTTAAGGCGTGTTAAGAAACGGATCAGAACCATGGGGGAGGGGCCGGCTGGGCCTGTATCAGAGCCCGAGAACAACCCCCCCCACGCACACCGGCACCCATGTATAGGCCATCCCTGCTCCCCCACGTATGCACCTTGGCGATGTCAAACAGGGATCCGATTGGTCCGGAGAGAGAGAGGCGGATGGAGCATCCTCCTATGGCCTCCACTGTCTTCTATACGAACTTTGCCAAAAAACATAATCTGTATAGATATATAGAGAGCTATAAAGAGAGAGCTATATCGAGAGAGAGAGGTGGGGGTGGGGATTGTTTGGGGTCTGGATAGAAATTATGTTGAATCCGGTGCTGACCTTCCAGTATTTGTCAGCTGAGGGAAACTGAGGCACGGTGGGGAAGGGACTCTTAAAGTCACTCATTGACAGGGTTTTGAGTTCGGTTCTTTTTTATGCCAAGCCATCAGCAAAGTCTGCAGGAGACCGGGAGAGAGGTGCAGTTTTTTTCTTTCAAAAGCATCCTGGGCACCAGGAAGGGCTGATGCACAACATTGTTTCCAGCGGAGGAGGAGATGGCGCTGAGGTGGCCATCTTTGATTTGGATTTTTGTTTTCCTTTGCTGTGTGGCACGCACACACACACACACACGCCCTTCCCAGCTCACAAATCAAACACACATCACCGTCCTGCTCTGGGAGCTGGCAGAGGAGACCGTGAGCCGAGGGGTTCTTCCTGGGCCGTCAGTGTAATTGTTCAATCCACATTCCCCACTCTCGCCTGCCGCTGCCCCACTTCGGTCAAGATGCGCACGCCGTTTTCCTATGGCTCAATGGGAAGCTCGGAAACTCCTGCAGCTCTTGCCCCTTCTGCGTTTTCCAACTCTGCTTTTATTTCCTCCTCTGAAGACATGCAGAAGTCAGGTGCCTCGTGGGAGCTGCTGTCTGAACTCGGTTGGGTCAAGATGAGGCTGGGGAGGATTTTTTGGGGGGGGCAATTTGACAATTGAACCATTTTCCCGTCCAAATCAGTCGGATCATCTCTGAGCAAAAGAACAACAGAAACCCAAACGGCACTTTTTTTTTCTTTCTTTCAAAGGACAAAACAAAAAACAAAAATTTCTCCCTTTTCAAGCACAACTCTGAATTCTCTCGCCCTCTTCTTCCCGAGAGAGACCATGGGAGCCAATATCACATGAATACGTCATTTCGCCGGGGAGGGGGGGAGCTTAGGGTGGGGTGGAGGGTTAATTCAGGGGAGGCGGGCGGGGATACAGATTGAAATGCTGTAAATATGAAATTTCAAACAAACAACAAAAAGGGGAATTGAGGAATCCCTTGAAAAATGAAACAGGGATTTAAAACAAAAAAATACAACCAATCCACCACAGTCCCAGGGAACAGTTTGTGTCCTGGAATTAAAATATATATCTATATATCTATAGATATATACTGACCTCTGCTCCAGCCCCATTGACTGTTGGGGGGGACAGGTGAAGGGAACAAGGAGACCCCCTCCCCTTTTGACGAAGACAGGGGAAGGGATCGCAAAAACTAAGAGCAGATTTTTTACAATCAAAACAAAAAAAACAACAAAAAAATTACTGTTTTTGGCACAATTTTTATGTAATATATACATATAATGCGTCATTTCTGTGACTTTCTCAACATTCCCTTTTCCTGCTGGATAAGGTACTTTTTTCATACATCTTGACATGGATCGGTCATTTTCTCACTCACTGCCACTGTGGAATTGTGGGTAAAAAAAAAATTACTGTAAGACCCAAAGATGCTGTAACTGTAGGTTAGGAAAATTGTTTGGGATTTATTTTGCTTTTTTTTCTGGCCAGGGCTGTTGGGTGTCAGGAGTTCTTAAGTCTATGGTTATTTACTTGCATCCCTCTGGGCTGGAAGGCATTTGACGGGGTCGAGTTGAAGGGGCAGGTGGGCGTGTGGTTCAGCTTCATGGAGTGCGGAAGGGTTTCGCTTTCTGGTTCCTTTTCTCCCAGCCTGTGGAACTACTGGAGAGCGTGTGAGAGATCATGGGGGGTTTTAGAACGATCCTGGGCTTCAACGGCTGGGATGTAGTGACTTAAACATTGGATAGAAGGGTGGAGACATAAGGGGCAGGATCACTAGCTGGTATGAATGGATGTTGCGCCATTGGCGTCCATGTAGCTATGCTTATTGACACCCCGCTGGGGATGGGGCCCAAGGAGTTTGGGAAACTCAAGCTCCCCCTCCCAGTGGCCAGCAAACGCTTTGGGTGAACAGTAGGGTGTAGGTGACAAATGGGTGATATTTACAGTGTTGCCCTTGCCAGTGGTCTCTGGCCAGACACAAGGCCGGCAAAGGGCTGGATAGGCCCTGAGAAGCTTTTTCCAGCTCTAGGTCTTGGTGGGGATAGATGGACCACCCACTAGTGTCATTCCCCTGCCCCCATGCAGAGCAACCAGCCCTCGACCACCAGGGCCATCGCTGAGAGCTGAGTGCCCGTGAAACTCAGGGGTTTCAGTGCAGCCATCGTCCCACCTCGCTGGAGCAAAACCCACAGGCAGGATGGCTGGCAGCTCCCCGCCCAAGCCAAGTGGCCAATAGGACAGCTGAGGCATGCAGGGAAACTGGCCTGCAAAGTCTCCTGGGATACTGAGGGCTGCTTCAGTGGCTCCGTTGGAGCTGTATGCCAGGCCACGGGACCGCCCCCCCCCCCCCCGGGTTCTCCCCTGAACACCGCGGCTTGCACCAGAGTCAATGCAGTGTCCAAGTCTATTACTCTAGGACAGTATTTCCCAAACTTGGGACACCGCTTGTGTAGGGAAAGCCCCTGGCGGGCCGGGCCAGTTTGTTTACCTGCCGCATCTGCAAGTTCGGCCGATGGCGGCTCCCATTGGCCTGGAGCAGCGAACCGCGGCCAGTGGGAGCCACAATCATCCTGACCTGCGGACGCGGCAGGTAAACAAACCAGCTCGGCCCGCCAGGGGCTTTCCCTACACAAGCGGCGTCCCAAGTTTCGGAAACATTGCTCTAGGATATTTGAGTGTTTTATTCAACAACCGATGACTTACCCCGCTCATTCCCCCCTCAGCCTCCTCCTTTTGTCCAATGCTCAGCAGAGCCTGAGACGAGAGGGTGGGATGGGGGTAGCAGCTGCACAATCCCTTTTACACCTCTGGGATAACACAGCACAGCTTCTCCAGCCATCCTGGCCTTGGCATGGGAACAGCTCCAGCTCCCATTGCACTGAGGGGAGCCATTCCCAGCCACCCTGCAAAGGGAATTGCCCATCAATCCTCTGATGGGAACTGGTCTGGGGTCTGGTCTCCAACCCTCGCCTGTACAGTCAGGGCAGTCACGCGTTTGTAGGACATTCCTGCCTCCCAGTCTGCTCCGGGAGCCTGCATTTCACCCTTCCCGTCACAAGTGCAATGATTTCGTTAGCTGAGCCGGGCTCAGCCCTGCTGGACGGTGGGCTTTTCAAGACGCTGGGGGACGTTTAAGCAGCAGGTTTGTTTTCTTGCTGGGTGTTGCATTTGGAGGCTCTTTGAAAGCTGAGGGTGGGGGCGATTGGAGCCATGTGACTTTTGCGCCTATGAAATCTTTGCAGGGCGATTAGGGGTTGGGACGGCTGCCTCGCGACGCCTCCCAGGGAGCAGCTGTCCAACCGGGGCTCGCGTCCGTGTCACAGATGGATTTGGTTGCATGGGCTGTTGCTCTCCTGGGGCTTAGCGCCCAGATCTGTTTGGAGGGAGAGGTCAATTCTGCACCTCCTGTTCTGGGGGGTTGGAAATTCCTCTGCTCACAACCCGGCAAACCAACCAGCCTTATGCCCTCCCGTCTCGCACGTGGCTGGTGCCGCCTGGACGTTTCTTCGTCCGAGGTGCAGCCCTTCAGCAGACCTAGCCCCACCCCAAAACCAAAGACATACCCGGCAGAGTGAGGGGCTGGCTGCCTCCGGCTAGCCCTAGTGGGAGCCAACAGTGCTCAGGGAGGGGGGCTCCCGGGTTGGCAGGTTATCGCGAGGGTGGGTAGAGCATGGCACGGCCCAAACTGGAGCCCCTCAGCAGCCCAGCTGGGCTGGGTCCCATTGGCCTGAGCCCCATGAGCTGTAGCTGGATTAGTGCATAATCCCAGTTCTTCATCGCCTTGCACTTAGTGCAGCCTTTACCCCCAGTGCCCACTGCGACCTGTGGGAGTGGCATGTGCCCCCTGGCACTCGTAGCCATGCCCTGCGCCAGCAGAGCGAGCTGAAAACTATTGGTGGTTTTCCTCCACGAGGCAGGAGCGTAGATAGCGCAGTGATGGGCTCCTCACGTGCTCTGGCCAGAGACCCCAGGGCCAAAGACCCTATGCGGGGGGTTCCCGGAGCTGGTGTATTGCAGGGGGGTGCAGTCGTGTCTCGGGGGGTTACTGGGGTATCGCAGGGAGGTGCAGTCGTGTCTCGGGGGGTTACTGGGGTACAATCGTGTCTCAGGGGGTTACTGGGGTGCAACAGGGGGATGCAGTCGTGTCTCGGGGGGTTACTGGGGTACAACAGGGAGGTGCAGTCGTGTCTCGGGGGTTATTGGGGTACAAAAGGGGGATGCAGACGGGTTTTGTACCAGAGTGGCTCTAACGTGGCTTCCTATCCAGGCCTTTGAGCTGATCTTGGCACCGGTGCCCCACTCCCATTTTCTTTAGGTGTTGCTGACGCCTGCGGGACCCTTGTCACTTGGCTGCTCTTGGGGGTTGGCCGCAGCTCCCCATCTCTGGGCGGGGCCTTAGCAGGGACCCTCCTTTCAATGCAATTCCCCGGCTCAGTGCATTTGACCGTGTCGCCCCCTGGTGGCTTGCAGCGGCTCTAACCGCCTCCTGCTGACCCTCAGTAGCATGTATCTGCTCTTGGAGTGGGGGCGGGCTCTGGGGTGAAGGTCTCTTGTTCTAATCCCAGTGGTGATGGCAGCGTGGTCTGGGCTTGGACCCATCAGCCCCCCACCTTGCTGACTGACGAGCCAGCTCTGATCTAAGGGAGGGCAAGGGGGTGTCTGTCACTGGGGGGTCAGGGGGACCCTGCCTGTGCTCCGACGTATCAAATGTTGCTTGCTCTCTTTGTACATGGCTCTTTTCATTTATCGTGGGGGGGAGGATTAGCCCTTCTGAGAGTGGGATCGGGGGTGGGGGTACAGTGTATCGGGGGGGGTTGATTTGTGGGGGTGACCTCCCTTTAATCCCCTCCTCCCATCTCCCCCACTAGCCCCCACACCCGCCAGCCTCTTATTTCATGGGTGGTAGCTCCTGGTAGGACACTCACCGTCAGGGCAATCGCTCGCCCCAGTTCGGGGGGCTCCTCCCTTGTGCTCCCCCTCTCTTGCTGGTAAACTGGCCCCCAGCCATGGGGAGCCCTGCTCTCCCGGCTCAGCCTGCCCCCCATCTCTTTGGGACTAGTGTTACGCGGAGGGCCTGGGCCAACTCCCAGCTCCAGCGCCTTTAAAGTCGGGGAAGGGCCCTTCCCTCATCCCCCAACCCATCCTGGCTGCCCCCCTCTGACCCAGGCCCCAAACCCCTTCCCAGCCCCCAGCTGCAATTGAAGCCAGAGAGCCACAAAATCCTGCTGCCATCCGCACCGCTGAATGAGCCCCCCACCCCAGCCATCCATGAT